GAATTAGCACTGTTTGTTGTTCATTGACTTTATCTATGAAATGTTTAGTGTTAGAATTAGCAGTACTAAATGTTGTTCATTGACTTTATCTATGAGATGTTTAGTGTTAGAATTAGCACTGTTTGTTGTTCATTGACTTTATCTATGAAATGTTTAGTGTTAGAATTAGCAGTACTAAATGTTGTTCATTGACTTTATTTATGAGATGTTTAGTGTTAGAATTAGCAGTACTAAATGTTGTGAAGGTGTAATTGAAGTAGAACAGGATCGTTATGTTCCTACAGGATCGTTATGTTCGTAGTGGTTATGTTCCTACGCGAGTCCTGCCTGAAAAACGTAAACATTATAACACGAAAAGAACCGTGTAAACAATGTTAGAGAACGTCAAAACGAAACGATCGTGTCGAAAAGGAGATTGGATTTCTAGTAAACTTGAATTCACTTTAATAAATCAAAACCCTTATTTAAAGACTGGAAACGATGTTTGTAGGAAAATATCATAACTAATGTTTGAGCTAAGCCTAACGAGTTGAATACATTTTCCTATTCCCAGCATGATGATCACTCTTATTTAAAGACTGGAAACGATGATTGTAGGAAAATATCATAACTAATGTTTGAGCTAAGCCTAATGGTTCGAATGGGTGATGTTACGACATATAGCTTTGAAACAGGCCGATGCTTGAGCTCATTGGTTCAAACCTGATTTGGCTAGAAGTTGTTTTAAAGTTTCAAGAAGTGTTCCAGTAAAACCAAATGTAGCATTATCCATATTTGTGTGTTCAGACACACGTGTTGGTAAATATGAATGTATTCACTTACTGCTTCCAAAAATAGCTTCCTAAATGTTCCAACTACACTAATAGGCCTCGGCTGGTGAGTCAGCAAGCTTTCTTTTATTCACTGTTTATCAGTGACTCTTGCTAAGATCTTAAACCAATTAGAAAGAACGACAACGTCATGTTCTCTTAAGCCATGTTCACGTGCTAGTTTGACTTAGAGGGGGAACTATGGTTAGCGCGTTCCTTCTTTCGAGTTAACAGTTATATTTTAGTAGAACTAATATAGTCCTGTTGATAGCAAAGACGAGTAAATTTATAAACTAAATATGATGACTGCAAAGCTGGAATTTGGTCCTCAACTCTAAAAAAAACAACAACAATAAACCTTAAGCGACAATTAGGTTTAAATGCATATCTTAAATGTATATGTGGGTATACCATTAAAATGCATAGAATCATCGTCCAGCCCAACTGATGAATTCTGATATGAAAAGCTTATTGGTCAGTGACTTGTGGGGGGGGGGGACAAAAGATAGCCCTGAAATCCTACTTTTTTACACAAACTTCTAATCTCAAGTCGTAATGGGAATGTGGAAACAAAATAACACCCGCATTCAACTAGTCCTTTTAACAAGATTCTTTTATGGTTTCAAAAGACAAAAATTATTCTAAGATAGTGTTTTTAATTTTTTTCTCCCGTTAAATTAACGAATGAGCGTGCTCGTATTTATTATGAAGACAATAGATTATTAATTAGATGTGGTATATTACAGTAATGTGTGGTTTGATATATTTTTTGTATCCCTGTTTAGTATTAGTTTTTCAAGTTGCTCAACTCGATGTAATGGAATTAATACGAAGAGCATATACTGATAAAATAGCTCTAAGAAGGAAACTGCAGTTTACGTCATTTAAGCCTATTTTATTTTACAGACGAAGGTTTTGTTTGTTTGTTTGTAATTAAGCACAAAGCTACACAATGGGCTATCTGTGCTCTGCCCACCACGGGTATCGAAACCCGGTTTCTAGCGTTGTAAGTCCGTAGACATGCGCTGTGCCACTGTGGGCGCAGACGAAGGAAACTGCAGTTTACGTCATTTAAGCCTATTTTATTTTACAGACGAAGGAAAGTGCAGATCAAAACTCATGAGATAAAAAAATATAGATGAGATACTTATTTTGTTGATTCATTAATTAATTGATGTATGTTTAAGGGCGCATTCGACGATGAATAAAAAATCCTATTTAGCCCTATTTAAGATACGAAATACTAGAGAGACAAGGGAACTTTCTTTTCTGAACTACCTCTGGTGATGAAATGATTAATACTTCATTTCTTTTCTCCTTTTTTTTTCTAAAATGGAAAAGAGTCACACACACACATCTACAGAAGTCAAACAACGCAAAACTACATTAACTTCTGATAACAAAAAATCTAAATTTGCACTAACCAGGCTTCAGGTGTTTTCACAGAAGATGTGAGTTCGTTATTCTAGTGGTTTTTCGGAAGGCAACACTTGTTTGGGTTTATCTAATCCACGTAGATACTGTCACCATTAGCAACAGAATACATTAGTAGAATATAAAGTTCAAACTTCTGCCTTACGCAGGAAACGGGTCTGCTTGTTTATTTGTTGTTTAGCGCAAGGCTACCGGAGGCCTTTTATTAGATGATTTGTACTGTTTAAGCCAACTTTTGTGAATGAAGACAGAGATTAGGCTTAGCTACAGTTAAGCCTTTTTATTTGTACTATCCATCACATTCTTTACAGTTCCTTGCAAACCACCAGTCACAAAGAAATTTATATATGACTGAAAAAATGGTGTACTTTCATTTCTAGTTGGCTAATTAAAAAAATAATCCACCGAACGGTATAAAAAAGCTTTTCTTCATGTTTGTTTTTTCAGGGGAACCAGAATTAAAAACAAGAAAAAGGTTATTGTTAATTGTCTAGTTACCCAGAATTTAGTAAAGCATATAACACTGTTACACATATTATATGGCGAACATATTAGATTATGGTTGCATCATGATAGGTATCATCTTTACTTGCTTTTTCATTTGTCTGTGACAGTCATTTTATTACATCATTACCAACTATAGATAAACTGAAACTTGAAAGAAATTAGTTTTCCGTTAAATTTGATTCAACTTCTTCAAGAACTTTTGAAAATATTATTCACAGCCACGTTTACGGAAGTTAATTAAGGACAATGACTTCCTACAATGACTTCCTCATTCTACTCTAGTACTAAGAAATACTGAATCCACTATGGGAGATATATTTCCCTTCACCAACTGCAAAGTAGGCCTAATTTGAGTTAAGCCTACTTGAAACTCTATAATATGTTCACATGCCTCAGTTGTACAAAAACCTCTCTATATGAATTTTACTGTAGCTCAGAAAGAAATTATATGTTATATAAACCATACTCGTCAAAAAAAGAAGAGATAGGATCCCATTTAACTCTGTTTCATTGTGTCCAGATCCTTGTTAACAGAACAACATCAAGTTCACAGATTAAAGGATCAGAAGAAAGACCAAATATTTCAACAATATTTTTCTGGGTATTAAAGCAGAGTGATTTGTTAGGCTCTCCTCACTAATGACTACAAAGCATTTCAAAGATATTTCATTTTAGGTGTTCGTAATTTTTTGATGTCTCAGTTGGGATCAGGTGCAAAAAAGAAGAAGCAGGGCCTTTCCAGAATTTATGAATTCGTTCGAACGTTTCATTGGGAAGGGATTAGTTGGAATTAGAACTGACTGCATTTGTCTACTGGATTGATTATTCTGGAAGATACTTGTCCTAAGCAAGAATACACAACAAAAGAAACACTGACTTTAGACGACTAGGCTTAAGTGAAATGACAGCGTTGGCGGTAATCCTTAAGCACTGACTCTAAACGATCTGTGTAAATTGTCTTTACACAAACGAATTATTTGGAAAAAATCATGAATGCAGGAAGAATTTGTCGGTAATGTTTATATATTAAAATATCAAACTCCTTGATTTAATGACATAAGTTCTTCAAAAAACAACAAAAAAAACTGGTCTTTAGGGTATATATGAATGCTGCACAATTAGGAATCTCTGGATCTTATAGAAACGAAATATAACTCCTCTATAAAAAAAAAAGCTGATTGATTTTTCTAGAGAATCAAGAAATACACAATATTCACCGCAGATATTTCTACCAAACTATGCAGATTGAATCATTTTTTAAGAGTTGGAAAGTTTCTTAATAAAACGTTTGTTATTTAATAGAAAAGGTTTATTTGAGATATTGGAGTTTTTAAAGTAATCATCATGTTGGGAATAGGAAAATGTATTCAACTCGTTAGGCTTAGC